TGCTTCTCCATCCTGCACCTCAGGGCTGCTGTGGGCCATGGCCCTCGACCCCTTCATGGCATCCACAGCCCCTGCTCTGCACACCCCTCCTGGCCATCCATCCCCTCATGGTACCACAGCCCCTGCTCTGCACATCCCTCCTGGCCATCCATCCCCTCATGGTACCACAGCCCCTGCTCTGCACACCCCTCCTGACCATCCCCTCATGGTACCACAGCCCCCTGCACACCCCTCCTGGCCAGTCCCAGGGTGGGAGCCGTGGCAGTGCTGGGGAGGGGTCACGGGCACTCCTGCAGGTCTGTTGGCAAATCTGGAACCTTCCCGTTCCCCTTCACTTCCGAGTTTATTCGGAACCACTCCAATTGCTGTCACCAGTGCCACAGCCCAGGCTGCTGCCAGTACCAGGTATTTCAGTTGATATTTATTAGGAGAATACAGAGCAACTATAACTCTTAGCAGGAATGTTGTTGTTGCAGCTACAGCTGTGGGTAGAATTAGGCAAGGTGTGCACAAAGCCACCTTTCTCCCACAGAACTGTCAGCCTGGGGCTCCCAGCCCCCAGCCCACGGGCTCCCCAGGGGAATGCTGTGCTCTCTGGAATAAAAATTAAAACAGAAAATCAATGCTTAAAGGGCTCAAGCTTTGAACCCAGAGCCGTGCCTGTGGGGTTATGAGGAAAAAATTAAAAGTGAGTTATAAAATGCCCCTGGAGCCGACGCTAATGATCTTCTTGGCTTGGCCTCTGCTCTTTTCAGGGCCTGATGTGGAAGAAGTTACACTTTTCCAGCCCTCAGCACTCAAGGAATTCACGCTCCATCTGCCTGTGTAAACAGGGAACTTGGCATTGTTTAATTGGGGGCTGAACTCCCCGTGTGTGCCCTGAGAAATGGAATTGGTCCATTTTCTGCTGCCCCACTTCTCAGACAAAGCTCAGACATCTGCGCCTCCGCTTGGCACTGCAGCAGCCCAGTAATTAGCTTGATAAGTTAAATTAGCAGACAGCTTTCCAGCCTGCTGGGATTGTCTTCAGCATGAAAATTCAGACTGAGGTATTTGAGGCTGGGTGTGCAACCCTGGGTGATGCCTCCTCATCACCGTAAATGTGCTTTGGTGGCCCACAGAAGTTGAAATATTGATTTATCCACTCCATACATCACCTGCTGTTCTGGCCTGGTAAATATGGGTAAAAATTGGGAAAAGGCCCAACCTGCACCCATGGGGCTGCCCAGAAAGTGGGCATCCTGCCCCTCCACAGAGCTGTTCACCTGGACTGCTGCACAGGGAGGCTGAGGCAGGAATACTCTTTGCCTGCTTTTCCCATCCTGGTTTTCTCTTTGTCCCTGTCAGACACAAAGCAATGAAGGCACACGGGGACAGGATGAATCCCCACGGCCCAGTGGGTGCTGTGCCCTGGGGGAGGAGTGGGACTCAGCTCCAGAGGGTGCTCAGCTCCTGTGCCAATGGATGAGCCTGTGACAGCTCAGTCCTGGCTGGGCTGCACAGCCCCATCTCCAGCTCCCAGGGAGTCACCAGAGGACCTGGATCAGCACTTCGGGAGTGCTCAGCAAGGTGGGGATCGGTCACAGGTTGGACTCCATGATCTTGGAGGTCTTTTCCAACCTCAATGACTCTGGGGTTCTGACAAGCCTCACTGTCTCTCCTCTGTGTGCTTGGGAAGATTCAAGTCCTCCCACAACAAAACTTTGTGGAGAGAGGGCTGGGAAAGGGCTGGGGAGAGGGAGGTGCACGGTGCCCTGTCTGCACAGCCACAGGGGCCTGACCTGGGCAAAGAAAGATTGAGGGAGAAGCGACAAAACACTGCCAGCAACATCAAACGGGGTGGTTTGGTCTCTGAGGTCACCCCGTGCCAGGCAGTGAGAACTCCCACCCTTCCAGCCAGGTGAGACTTCAGGATAGGGAAGGACAGGTCCTCATCAGCTGAGAAGTGTGATCCCTGCACAGGCCTGGTCTCTACTGCAGAGGATTTGGGCTGGAAGGGCACTAACAGAACAGGGAGGAGGGAAGGGGGGGAACAAGGGAAAGATGAGGCAGATCCGCTCTGACAAGTCGCTCTGGGGTTTCCAACCTTCCTTTCTCCAAAGTCACCAAGGCAGGTGAATCAAACATCTCTTAATATCCACATATTCTGAGGGGATTTGCAGCAGTGCTGCAGTTGCCATGGCATCAGATTGTGCCAGTGACACGGGACAAGGTCGTGGTCCTGTTCCCAGACAGCCCTGGAACAAGGGGCTCACGGAAGAGAGCCAGGAGAGCTGGTCCCGTCCCTCCAGTCTCACCTGTGGGGTTGCTTTGGCCCAATGGATTAAGCCCATCCTAAGGGCTAGGAAAGCTAAAGGATCCCCTTTGTTCCACAGGCAGAGAGACTCTCTGTCCAAATATCTCTGTAACATAACACACGGCATCAAAACCTGCCAGAAAGGTCGAGAAGGGATTCGTTTGGCAACTTGGGAATTTCCACACTGGTTCTTGGAGCAAACAACATCTTCATTTACTTCTCAAAAGCAGTGATGCATCCACAACATCAGAGCAAGGACCTCATCAGTCACCCTGGCTCCAGCAGGGTGTCACACACGGCAGACGCCCCAGGGGTGGCTGATTTTGTTGTGATTGAATTCCAGCCCCGCTGGCTCTGGCTCCTGGAACTGCCACTCCTGGCAGAATTCCCTGGAGAGGTGTAAAGTCGTGCCTATAAATACTTGATAAACAACCCCAGAAGGGGCAGCACAGAGCTGCTTAAACAGTATTTTTGGCTTATGCTAAGAAGTGAACTCGGGATTTTTTCTGCTCCTGTAATTTTGATAAGTGTGGGGATAAGGCCAGATAAAAATAACTACACCTGATAGTCCCCTGGTTCCCCTGCTCCTGACTGACATCTGAATAAGAATTCTTTAAAAGGAATTGCAATCAGCACAGATTTGGTTCAAGTCTTGTTTAGAACTGACAAAACTCCTGAATCCCTTTGAATTGTGTCAGGCAGCCCTGGAATGGAGGGAAGTTCCCTCCAGCAAGATGATGGATTGTTCTCCTCTCCCACTGCAGCTTCTCTCAAACCTGGGACAGCATCACAAAGCTTTGATGAATGAGCTGCACACAGTGCTGCTTGGGAAAGGAAGGGAATGTCCACAACAGCACAGCAATAATGAACAGATTTCAGGGATTCCTTCCTGGGGAAACGGATAGGAAAAGGCATTGGGAAATAATGTCAAATTATAGAAATCAGAGAATGGTTGTGCTCTGTGGTTCCTCCTCCATTGGGAGATGCCACCTCTCCTCCTGGAGCTCACCATGGAAATCATGGGATCACAGAATGGTTTGGGTGGGATGGAACCTTCAACTCATCCAGTGCCACCCCCTGCCATAGGCAGGGACACCTTCCACCAGCCCAGGTTGCTCCAAGCCCCGTCCAGCCTGGCCTTGGACACCTCCAGGGATCCAGGGGCAGCCACAGCTTCTCTGGGCAATCTGGGCCAGGGCCTCCCCACCCTCACAGGGAAGGATTCCTTCCCTATATCCCATCTAACCCTGCCCTCTGGCAGTGGGAAGCCATTCCCTGTGTCCTGTCCCTCCGGGCCCTTGTCCAAAGCCCCTCTCCAACATCTCCTGAACCTCCCAGGGGCCCGAGTTCAAAGCTTTTCTCCCGGATCAGGTGCTCTCCCAGGAGCATCCCCAGCCCTAGAGCTGGGCACGGCAGCACCAGCTCCCTGGGGACACAGCACCTGGACAGGGAATTCTGTGCTGGCTTCTCCTTATCCCTCTGTGCTGCCGAGCTGGGAGAACAGATTTGCACAATGCTCTTGGACACGGGGGGGGCTGTTGGGGTGTCCTGTGCGGGGCCGGGTGTTGGACTCCACGATCCCTGGGGGTCCCGTCCAACTGTGGATACTCCACGATCCCGTGATCCCCGCTGCAATCCCTCCCTGTTCCCGGGACCCTCCGCCGGGTTTCTGTGCCAGCCCCTGCACTGGCAGCGCTCGCACATGAGGGAGCACTGCGGAGTTGTGGAATCTCGCTCTGGCACAGCTTTGGCGAGCGGGGACAGCCCGCGCTGGCCCCGCGCTCCCGGCACAGACACACGGACACGCTGCGGGTGATGCTGGAGGCGTTTATTTGGCGGTCGAGGCCCGAGGGGGCCCCCGGGACATCCCCCCGTGCTCCTGCTCTGCCCGGGGGGCTCAGTGGTACCTGCGGGCCAGGGCGTGAGCCACGACACCCACCAGCTTCTGCCAGGCGAACTGGCAGGCGGGGGTGAAATCCCTGCCGAAGTGGGAGGCCAGCACGATGACGAGGATGTCTCCGAGGAGCTGGAGGAGGAGGAGGAGGACAGGCAGGGTCAGTGCTGCTGTGCCACAGCCCACCCGGAGCTCGGGATGTCCGCGCTGGACCCGCCGCGAAGGCTCCGCTCCCTCCGCTCCCCCGTGTCCTGCCGTGCCTTTGGCTCCGAACAGCTTCTCCTTTTATTTCTCCCCGGTTTTCCTGCTGCAGATTTCCCCCCCACCACAGCCCCTCTCCTTCCCGTCCGCCCCCGACACCACCCACGACCCACGGGCTGTTTCCTTGCCCTGACTTCTCCCTGAGGCTGAGTTCCCCTCCTGCACGGACTCTCACACGCTGCACACTCCTCCTCCTCTTCCTCCCCAGCCCCTCGGGCTGTGGGGCTGGTTATGGGTGTGTCTCTCCCTGTGCCCCGGGACTGCGACAGCAGAATCCTCAGCCTTTCCATAGAAAGCTCTGAGTTTTTGGAAAACAATATTTGCTGCATTCTTAAATATAAAATAAAACCAGAAAGAAAGAACCTTGAAAACATTAAAGCAATTTGGCCTGAGAACCACCCTAAAAAACTGTGGGTTTTTTCTTTCTCTTTTTTGGTCTAAATGAAGACAATGATTCATTTGCATTTGAGAGTGTTGGAGGAGTGGGGAGTGTCCCACCCGCACTCCAGGCAGGACCCTGCTCTGTGATTCTGCTTATGTTGCTGTAAGACCTTGGATTTCCTGAAATGCTCTGCTGAGCTTCCCTCTGCCTCCTCCTCCTCCAGCCCATGCTGCACCTTCCCCTGGGGTCGTTCCCCAGCCAGATCTCCTCCCGGTAACCATCTCCCAGTATCTGCCCCTCCCCGGTGCTGTGCTGGCACTACAAGTGGGACTTCTTAGGGTGAAGTCCCCCACGCTGTTGCAAACAGCCCTGCCCAAGCTGCCACCTCTCCTGGGACACAGGGACTCTGCCCCCACCGCCCAGGCAAGTGCCCCTGGACAGGGTTGTTTGAAGCAGCAGCAAAATCTGCCTCTGCCCACAGGGCCCAGGGCAGGGGCTGGGACAGCAAACACAGCTCACCCTGAAGTTCTCGGGGTCCACGTGCAGCTTCTCACAGTGCAGCTCCGACAGCTTGGAGTAGGTGCCCTTGATGTTGTCCAGGTTCTTGACGGCCTCCCCGAAGGAGGTGAGCACCTTCTTGCCGTGGGCACGGACCTTGGGGTTGCCGATGATGGCCGTGGGGCTGGAGAGGTTCCCAAAGTTAGAGAAGAACCTCTGAGTCCAGGGGTAGACGATCAGCAGCCTGGGGAGAGATGGAGGGACACAGACATGTGTTAATGCTCCCAAACGCAGCTGCCTCGGTTTCCCTGGCGGGTTTCTCTGCAGGTTCCCGGAGCTGGACGTACCTGGCCAGGGCCTCGGCCCCACATTCCTCCACGTTGACCTTGCCCCAGATGCTGCTGATGAGCTGCTTCTCCTCTGCTGACCAGTGCACCATGGTGGCTGCTCTGCTGGGCTGCAGGAGGGCACAGACCCCGTAGCTGAGCCCAGACCCCACCGGGCCTTTTATCCCCTGCCCGCAGCCCCTCCCCGGCCATCCCGAGGGGCCATGGGATGGGGGGGTCCCCTCCAGCAGGAGGGGGAGCAGGAGGGGATGGCCAGGGTGTGGCACACAGAGAAGGGGCCTCTGGTTATCCTGAGCTCCAGATTTGTCCCTTCCCCTCTGTGAGGGCAGCTCTCCTCTCACCTTCCGGGCGTGGGCCCCTCTGGGGGGGTGATGGTCCATCACCACTGAGCGTGGGCTGGACTCAGAGGTGTGAGCCTGGTGCCTCAGCATTCCCAACACTGGGCTCTGCCTTCCCTCAGTGAAATGAGGAATGTCCAGGCCAAAATCCAGCCCCTGGCAGAGCGACCCCGAGGGGTTTGTCCCCAGCAAACCGTGCAGGGCCCTGCCCTGCCTGAGGACTCCCTGCACCACCGGGAGCTGTGGCAGTGCTGGAGCTATTCAGAGGATGCTCAGGCTCTGCAGCCCAAATCTGCATTAGCCTCATTTTCCCTCTCCCATGACAGAACTTGACCAGTTTGATTTATTTGTGCCTTTTGGAGCAGGAAGAATCATAGTTGCATTTCAGAGTCTGAGTTCAGAACTGGATTTCCATGATCTTTGTTGGTCCCTTCCAACTCAGGATGTCCTCTGGTAGAATCATAGGTTGGTTTGGGCTGAAGGGACATTAAAGCTTGTCTTGTTCCACCCTCCTCCCATGGTAAGTTCACCCAAATGTTCTCCCCTCAGATGTGAAAGGACCAGCCCAATGCAGTGCTGCTGGACAGGGAGCAAGGACCACACAGGACCATCCTGCTCATCTCAGTTCTGCTTCCAGCCACATCCGTAAAGGGGGGGTGAAACAGGCTTAGAACACCAGGTTTGTCACTGCAGGACCTGCTGTGGGCCCAAAAAGCAGCAAAAGCTCAGCTCAGGGCTGTCCAGCCTGGGGGGAGCCCAGGGCCTTCCCCTTCAGAACCTGCCAAATTCCACAAGCCACCCACACTCAGCCAGGCTGTGCTCTGAGGAGGAGACATCCAGGCTGCCCTGACACACCTCAGCACCCAGGGGTTTTGCATCCCAGCCAGGAGCAATGCCCTGGGGAGCTTTCCTCTTTTGTTTCCTGCATAAACCCCAAGAAACACCCTTGCTAAAAGCACAGGGGCTTCAATGCTGATTCCAAGGCACCCGGAGGAATCTGCTGTTTTCCTGTTGTTTTCCACAGGATTTGGGCTGGGCTAGGGAAGAGCTGGGGACAGCTGAGGGGGTGGCTGTGTGGCCAGGCTGCAGCAGAGGTGCAGGGCTGCCCAAGCTCCTCTCCAGACACCAGCCCTTGCCTTCCTCCACAGATCATCTCCTGCCAAGTGTCTTCTGTATTGAAAATATGGCAGGAAAATCAATTCAAAGAAAGAAAATACTGAGGGACGTTTCCAGCCTGACAATATTGCTTTCCCCCTCTAGTTGTACACCTTTTTTTAATGGAATAGGGGTGAATAACCTTCATCAGATTTGCCTACATTTGCCTTTTCTCCAGAAAACCCAGTGTGGGGGGCTGAAGCACAATGACAAATCAAGTTGAGCCCAGCCTGGGTGCAGTCAGGGGGGAGAGAACATGCAGAGAAAATGCTGCCAGGCACCAGTGCCCCCCTCCTGCACCCCCTTATCAGCCCTGCCAGGACCTGGGTGCTGCCAGTGCTGCTCCAGGCACTGCCCAGGGGTGCTGGCACCCACAGGGACCTTCTGACAGCATGAAATGGGAGCAGGGACTGTTCCCATCCTGCCATGCCCCTTCTCCCTGCTCCCAGGAAGGGGGACCCTGAAAGGAACCCCAGGAGTTCCAGCCCAGCCCTGTCCTGCTGGGCTGATCTGAGAGGTCTGCTTGGCTCAGAGAGTCATATAATCATGGAGGGGTTTGGGTTGGGAGGGACCTTTAAAGATCATCCATCCCACCCCT